ACTACCACGGTGTCTGTGGCTGTACCGTCTACCACGGTGTCTGTGGCTGTACTGACTACCACGGTGTCTGTGGCTGTACCGACCACCAGTGTCTGTGACTGTATGGACCGCCACGGTGTCTGAGCTCATGTGTGGCTGTACTTTCCATCACTCCACGTCGTATTTTGTCTTCACCACACCTCATAAGCTCTCCAGTAGCAGCGCATGGAAGGCATCTTCACTGGGGAGATTGTCTACGACTGCCTTCAATCTACCCTTGCACAGCTTTGCGACATCCTGGAGATTGTGCTGCAAACAAATGAACAAAACTTGTAACTTATAGTTACGCTTGACAGCGCCATCAAGAAACAGGTGAAACGCCATCCAACTTACACACTGCTAAAGACTTGCATGCATCCCTTCGGATTTCTGAGGTGCAAAGCTTTGTAGTCACCAGAGCGATTGATGTAGATCATTGTCATCTTACCTATACGTATATTGACTAATGCTTACAAACTGAAAGTGTGTGGCACCGACTGATATATATAAAACAATTGAATAGTGAAATGTCTTATCACTGTTTGCTTACAGAAGTCAATTTTACAGTCATTTTGGACAATCAAAAATCTTATTTGTATTCATTGTTATAGCAATGCACATTTGAACAATGTCCAGACTGCTCATTGTCAATACCTGCAGATTATTCTACATCTGGCCTGATCAAGCAAGCATCCAACTGACATCAAATAGTTCCCACAATGCACCATCCAGTTGTCATAAATAGAGCAGTGGTGGTACAGTGATATCAAATAGCTCCCACAATGCAGGACCCAGTTATCTATAAAGCTGCGGTAGCGTAGTGACGTTAAGTCATTCCCGCAATGCACCACCCGGTCATCATACACATAGATCTGTGGTGGAGCCGCCAGCGATAATTACTAGGTGGCGCCACCAGCGAAGGTCACTAGGTGGCACCACCTGCGATGGTCACTAGGTGGTGCCACCTGCAATGGTCACTAGGTGGCACCACCTGCGATAGTCACTAGGTGGCGCCACCTGCAATGGTCACTAGGTGGCGCCACCAGCGATGGTCACTAGAGGGTGCCGTGGGTACCTGCAGCACGTGAAGCCCCCTCAGCGAGGCGACCATCAGCTCGCACAGCGAGTCGTTAGTGATGTCGAGGTAGAGCAGGGCGACGAGCGGGTCGGGGAAGCTGCGCTGGTAGGCGAGCTCGTAGCGACCCGGCGCGGCGCGGCACGCCAGCTCCCCCGCGCTAAGCCACGCCACGGCGCTCGTCGCGGGTGGCGAAGCGCGAGCCCGCCCGTCCGTCACGCTTCGGCGCGGGTCGTCGCTCGCACGCACCGGGCGTGGCGCTGGGTTGGGGGCGCCGGGGGATGTGCCCGCCGGCGTGCGCCTCGCAGTGCCGCCGGCGCCCCGCTGTGCCCCGCCGGCTCGCCGCTTAGGTGCCCTGCCGGCCGCGCTCGCTGTGCCGGCACGGCCGGGCCCTCGACTGTGCCGGCCCGGCGCCCTCGCAGTGCCGCGCGCGCGCGAACCTGCGCTGCTGGCCGCCGCGCCCCTCGGGTGGGGACTTCCGCGTTACGGGTACGGGAACTTGTGAGTACGAGCATTCTGCAAGAGCTACGTCCGAGTTGGGTGGGTAGACTATCAGGCTAATTGCGTACGCACGTTTAAAATGCGAGGGAACGTCTACAGCAACGTGTTTG